GTCATTTCCTGGGCCTTTATTTTATTAAGCAAGATCACCCACGCTCGGCATTCTTCTGTGCTAATTTCCCGATATGAATTTCTGCCTTTTCGCTCTTGCTGGAAAAATTGGGAGCTAGCAGCCCTGCGCAGAGTAATAAAACCTGCAGCCGAACAAGTTGCTAAGTATTTTTCAAGGGAGACAAATAGAAGCACTCCCCAAATTAAGCAGCCTATAAATCAGCATATATGAAGGCGGAGGTTAGAACTTTTCAAGAGAGCCAGCCAAGATTTGCTGAGAACGGCCCAATATTTTACGTGAATTGTTCCTGCCTTCTGCCCTGCAGAAGTTTACAATGGTATAAACCCTGAACACTGTGTCCTGTACCCTGGCTGAAAAACAGGGCAATGGAGGGTTTGTTTAGCAGATCTTCAATCTTTTCTGATCCCAAAACCTGGTGGAGAAATGCACGGTGATGGCTTTGCCAGCTTAGATCTGGAAGGAAGGACACAAGCCTTGTGCCTGAATCTACTTTTGCTTTAGGTTAAAGAAGAGCCAGGGCCAAAGGCAACTGACCTTCATGCTCTAAACCAGGGGTAGGCAACCTTGGCTCTTTTATGACTTGTGGACTTCAACTCCCAGAACCACGAATCATAAAAGAGCCAAGGTTGCCTACCCCTGCTCTAAACATTTACAGTAATTCTTGCAAAGCAGAATGGTGGGGACAGATATGGAGTTGTGGAACGAAACCGCAGGTACTCCATAAGTTTCATCAGCCACAGAATTGGCAATAGCTTGGTGTTTAATGATTGGAGGAAGTTCCTTATCTTAAATCATCTTTGATTTAATTCATGAGGCTCCAATGGAGCCCCAGAAGGACAATAAACTCTTTGCACCTAAGCTTGTCCTCTATTAAGAAGGATTGATCTCCTGACTTCAGCGGTCAATAGCAACCCTTCCTTTTCTGCCCAGCTCCTTCTAATAACGCTGCCCAGTTTGGGAAGCATGTACAATTTAGTCCCCGACTTACAACAGTTCGTTTAGTGGCCATTCAAAGTTACAACAGCACTGGGGGGAAAAGGGACGTACAACCATTTTTCACACTTATGACCGTTGCAGCATCCCCCTGGTCACGTGAGCAAAATTCAGAGGCTTGGCAACTGACTCATATTTATGACGGTTGGTGTCCTGGAGTTATGTGATCCCCTTTTGCAACCTTCCGCCAAGCAAGGTCATTCACTTAACGATGTGTTACTAACTTAACAACTGCAGTGTTTCACTTAACAACTGGGGCAAGCAAGGTCGTAAAATGAAGCAAAATTCGCTGAACCAATGTCCCGCTTAGCAACAGAAAGTTTGGGCTCCATTGTGGTCATAAAACTACTTATCTCGGGGAAATTATCTATCACGGTGTTCTCTCATTTTGTCACAGGAGATGTACGGAAACTGTGGGTTTAAGTCTACGTTGACATAATTCAAAATGCAGCAAAAGAGCTCCCAGCTTTTCCATCCCAAATCCAAGCTCTAGGCATAATCTAATCTTTTTCTGCTTCGCCGTTTGATCCACGGTGCCTTTCTCACCGTCTTCAACTCTCCAAGATTGTGCAACCCAGCTTTGTTTGCAACAGTTCCACAGAACACAAACTTCATAACAACGAATCAAATTTATAATAAGCAAACTTAAAACGAGAGAGCCCAAGGCAATTGGACAATTTCTGCTCATTAGACTTTCTCTCCATATTTAGCAAACTACGAGTGCATATGAGGCCAAGAAAACAAAACAGCACCTATTTAGCCATGACCCCATCCTCTTATAAAGACTCTTAGGAGTTTACATTGTTTTGATAGCTATATAAAAGGCTTTAGCTCCCTTGACTTATGTTTATGAGTAAGACATTCCTTAATCTCCTACTTGACGGATTCTGAAACTTTATTTATTTTTATTTATTAACGTACCTTTAATGGTTTACGGGTTTTATTTTTACTTTAAAAAACAACAACAATTGCATGCATGTGTATGTCTTGAAGACATCTGACATGGGTGAAGGGGTGTTTCCAGTAAGTTAACGGACCACTCATTAATTTGGTTCAGATCACAAGTTCTGCAAAATGAAAAGCAGAACTGAAGAGGCCAGAACTAACCCTAGTTAGCCAGAGAGGGAAACAGTGACTTTGTTCTTTTTTTTAAAAAAAAAAAATTAAGTAAAAATAAAAGATTTCACAGACCACCATGAATTCATTCTTCCACACTAGAGGCCTATTAATCTGTGGACTAATTCACCCCAAAGAGAGGCTCTTTTGGCAGAATCCTTTCCTATAAATCAGGGGTAGTCAACCTTGGCTCTTTTATGACTCGTGGACTTCAACTCCCAGAATTCCTGAGCCAGCATGGCTGGCTCAGGAATTCTGGGAATTGAAGTCCACGAGTCATAAAAGAGCCAAGGTTGACTACCCCTGCTATAAATCAACAAGGAGGAACGGTTAAGTCCGCTTGCTGCAATGGGTTATCAGGATTTTGTAC